TCTTGTTACTACTAGTAAGGCACTTGTTCCTAGTAGCGATGCACTTGCTACTAGTAGCTTTCTGTTACTACTAGTAAGGCATGTTCAACATCTTGTTTTTGTTGCTGATCCGACACCTACGACGTATCCAGTCAAGGCACTTCAGACGGATCTGCTCTCGGAGGTTCTCGGCGTTGGCCTTGCGGAGGTTCCGTGCCCGGAACCAAGGGGCCTCTACCCTAATAGCGATGGCCTTCAAATGTTCAGTTTTTAGGATGAAACATAGTGCAATCCATGACATTTTGTGGTGCAGTTGTGATGATTTCTGAACATGTTGAATGCGTTATGAGACTAACTTGACGGTTGGATGTAAGTCATGCGGTGGGACGGGTCCCGCCGGAGAGAATCGGATAAGTTTTTGAAGTTCAACACTTTTCGCACCTGCAGAGCACGGCGCTTTGCTTCTATCTTTGCCTGGCGATTGAATTAAAACCAACCTAGTCACCGGCTTTCTTTCAGCTCCTGGCCCTGCCCTCCTACTCAATTAAGTAAGGGCGACTTGTTCGCTACTAGGAACTCGATGCAGGATAGCTCAGCTTACCGAGTTCTCTCCAACCACAGGCATTCATTTAACCAACCTTGCATTCAGCACGAGCTCACCCACCCAAAGTTGCCGTCTGTCTCTTTTCCGCTGTTTCGGTCTGGCCTGTTCCCGCTGGTTCAGCGCTTCCTCTTGAGCCTTCAACCGCTCCAAGAGCCTCCCGATCAGATCCAGGCTGATGCAAAAAAAAGAAAACAAAACACTGTTGCAGTTTCATTCATGGAGACTTTTGAAGCACGGACTGGGACAGCAATCAAGGTAATATGGGTAAGGTTCGAAACTTTCTTAACAACCAGAATCTAGAACCTCTTTTCCTCAATGCCACCCGCTCGAAGCGCCCAAAGTCCTCTCGGAAAACATGCATGGGATGGCTGAAGCTCTTCCTCTCGCGCTTGCTGCTTGCGAAGCTGACGCTCCTGCAACACATGCTCTTTCAAAGGGCATGTTCCGAGAGCCTCCTAGTAAGCCATGTGTAGAAGTGTAGAACCCAAACACAGTGTCTGAGGGCATATGCCTTTTGTGAAACGAGCATCAAATCCTCCAAAGGTTGTTTGAAACCATTTCTTTCTTCTCAACAGCTGAAACGTGGTTGTGGCTGCTGGACACGCACCTGAAGCTGCATCTGGATGTATTCATGGCTTGCTTTCCTTAGACGGATGTTTTGCTCAATCGTTCACATAAACTGCGAATGTTGAATCAGTCTCCTGCAGGATAGCAATGCAAGATCCCACAGCTGCACATATTCTCCGTCATCTTTTGAGTAAAGCGACTTTCTGATGTGCAATTTTATCAAAAAACGAAATCATAAAAGTTCTAAAGTTCCCCAGCTCACCTGTTCGTCTCGAGGCAACTAGGAGCAAAGAAGCTACGTACTAGTAACAAAGGGCATCGCTACTAGGAACAAGGACGCTACTAGGGGCTCCTGGTCTTAATACTAGGAACAAGGACGATACTAGTAGCAAGTAACTAGGTGGCCCTAAAGGAAGTCAGTCGTTGCAGCTTCCGAACATCGCTCCAGCACAGCCACTCAGCGATGGAGCTAAGGCCAGGGCTTGGCTTCCTGCTTGTCGGATCATTTGTCAACTTAAACAAATTAACTCGACCTTAGTAGCGTCCTTGTTACTCCTTTGCTCCTAGTAGCTTCTTGCTCCTAGTAGTAAGGCCAGGAGCCCCTAGTAGCGTCCTTGCTCCTAGTAGGACTTGTTTGGTTCCTTTTCTCTTTACTCTTAGCTCCACATGCCCTGTTAAGAACCCAGTATTGAAGACTCCTACAAATTCCAACTAGCGCAAAGAGTGGACTGACATGACTCACGTAAGATTTATTCAAACTCCGGAGGAAGCTCGTTCTGATTGTACATAATATGAGCTGGGGAACAAATGGGGTGATTGTTCATGCTTGTGTGCGTGTGCGGTTCCTTACCTTCATCCTCTTCTCTCGCATCTCCATCTTCATCCTCTCCTGCAGGTGGAGTAGCCATGAGGCTTCTCTCAGCGTAGGTCGATAATGCCAAGTTGACCTGTTCCGTAGTTTCTTTGGCTTCATGTGCCACGACTTGCCGTCACTCACGAAGTTTGTGTCCCAAATCTCCCTCGCCTTCTCTTCCGCTATCTGCTGATACCTCTTTGCACCTGGAAACATCAGTGAATTTCGCCTAGTAGGTTGCTTTTATTGTCGTCCAACTTCAGAATACCAGGTTCAATCAAAAACTGGAGCAATCTTCAAACTTGTCTCAAGTGTTCAATCTTATGCTAGTAACCCTGTTCAATACTGTCAATACCTTTTCTGACCGCTATGAGCATTGCTCAATGCCCACAAAGGTTTCAGCGACATCGAGCGCTCAAAAGTGAAGGTCGCAAGGCAGTGCAAGCTTAAATGGCATGTCAGATGCTCTGTTGGAAAAGCATTCTTGTTGGTGGCAACGAATGTTCTGACTGGTAGCAGATCTAGTATGGTTCAGGCCTTGGGTGGGAAAGGAACCTCGTTTTGAAGTTGCTTTCTTGTTTCCCGCTCTGCCTCGCTATGATTCAATTAAGTAGGCGCCTACTTAATTAAGTAAGGGAGTAAGCTCCTAGCTACTTAAGCTTCTAGGTAAGACGCAGGATAGCGCTCGCACCGGTGAATTTAAGGGAAACCTAACTCTCCCAAAGTGACTAGGCAAGTGCAAAGGATCTCCATAGCTGGCTTGCGAGATTTTGAGACATGCCTGGGTATTGGAATAGCGCGATGCGATCAAGGTGTGCATTCACAGGTGGACATTGGAATGTTGGTAATGAAGCTTCTTCAGCACATGTCCAGTCCTTCAAGCTATCTCAAACACCAACCAGTGCCTTACTAGTAGTAACAAGAAGCTATTAGAAACAAGTGCCTTACTGCTAGTAACAAGAAGCCATTAGGTTGGAGTCCATTGCTATTAGGTTGGAGGCCATCTCGAAGCCACTGACCGTCACTGACCACTAGAACAGTAGTGTGATTACTACTCATCTGAGGCCCGGACGCTCTTCGTCCTCACGCATCTTCTTCTCCAACTCATTCCCCACCCCGGCCTCGTACCTGGCAGCGAACACAGCATTCTAGTTTCTACGCTTGACATGGAAAGAAGAAAAGGAAAATAAAAAGACCCGTCACCTCCCACAACATTTTTACTTTGGCGCTTTTCATCCGTTATAGCTAGCTACCAACCCCACCCTCTCCTCCTCAACAAAGCCTCAAGGTGATAGCATCCAAAAAGGACACCTGCAAATAGTGTTCACAACAGGTATCAAGAAACCATAATCAAAACTCAAAACACAGTGGTACCCTCATAGCCACATTTGTCGGGGCCCAATACTCTCTCTCTCTCGTGGTGGCACGCGGCCAGCATCTTTGACTGCTTGTCCCTCATCTGCCTTAGGACCAAAGAGCTTTGCCAACGACCCATTCTGGTGGCACTCAAACATACTCATTTACCCTCTCTCTCTCTCTTTCGCGCTCTCTCATTCTCTCTCTCTCTCTCTTAGGTTGGAGGCCGTCGCACACTTTAACTTTTAGCCATCTTTGTTCTTTAGACCTTTCTCACATGCCGCTCTCTGAGGCTCTCACTGAAAATACGCTGCTCGATCTGCTTCCTGCTTCTCCAGCATCTCCTTTGGTGTTGCTTCGATGGCTCAGTTTTGTCTTGCAAGGGAATAAACTCTGATCAGTTTTCATCAAACTTCTCTACATCCACTCTCTTATCAAAAAAATTAACAATTTAAGAGTGACATCTGTAGTTCTCAGCTACTGTCGGAGCATTCATATAAACCGAATGGACTTTGCCCAAGGAAACGCTGATGCGTTGAAACGACTTGCGTGCTCTGTGACCCAAAGGGGTGAGCGTACTGAATGAAAGGTCTAACAACTGAAACACAACTTACCTCGGCCACGCCTGTTGCCTCTGAGCCAGGAGGATGTCTCTCTTGAACTGGCAAGTTTCGTCCCGGGAACGTCTGTTGTGAACCCTATGGATGGAGTTTGGCTCGGAGGGGAAACTGTCCATTATGAAAACCAACAAAACAAGAACTTATTATAGTAGTAACAGGTGCCACGCTAGTAGTAACAATGTTTGCTATTAGTAACAAGTGCCTTACTAGTAGTAACAAGTGCCACGCTAGTAGTATAGATCTTTTGGAACCCTTTGTGCTATTAGGTTGGATCGCTAGTAGGTTCGAGGCCATCGCTACTAGGAACCGTTTGATGGTTGTTGATGGTTGTTGATGGTTCTCCCAACACTTTGATGGTTCTCCTATTCTGTTCACCCAAGCCCTTGTGTGATTAAGTTTCCCTAGAAATCTAGAAACCAAAGCATTAGTGCTTACGCTTCTTCAAGGAAGCTCCCCCCCGCCGCCCTAAACTCAAGCCCTTGCTCGATGGCTTTGGGTGATCTTCATTGCGTTGCGCGTGAAGTTCAAACAACTGTTTGTCGGCAAAGTAGTCATGTTCGGGGTGTCAAATGCTTGCAAAGAAACTTTGATCCCGGATCCTCAATAAAACCAATGGCCACTGCTAAATCTAAATGCGACTAAAGTGCCCTGCCTGTCTTTGGCAAGCAAAAGCTTCTTTGAGTGGAAATGGTTCCCGCATCACGACATTTAGGTAAAACACTGCCATGCCTGACATTCTTCTCGTGAACTGATGGTCTCATAGTCTGCCATCTGTATCACTGCGTCTTCCGATATTGAAGCAAAGAATAACAATTTGCTCACTCTTCATGACGGGACATGTGGGGTCCACTCTTCGGAAGGCGCAAATTCTCCCAGCTTAGAGTCTTTGAGCTGGATGTGAAAGCTAAAGCCTAAAGCCTACTCGGATCTACTCAGCACGCACCCAAAATTCCAGATCCAACGAAGCACCCGTCGAACCACTTTTTCTATGGTGCGGGAAGACACGCATGTCTGGCACATAGTATGGGTGGGCTTGGTACAGAACTGGTCTGTGGCCGACGGTGGTGATACAACTCTTAAACAGTTCGCAGGTCCAGCGGTGGCTCAAACACCAGTGCAATAAAGCTAGTAGTAGCAAGAAGCTACTAGGAGCTCCTGGCATCGCTACTAGGAGCAAAAAAGCTAGTTTGCCAGATTGTCAGTGCTTGGAGCGAAGCTGGAAACGCTCATTTGTATCCACGCTTCGGATCGGTGGACTCCGTGGCATCTGAGTCCTCCCAAAAGGTTGAAAAAAGATTGACTCATAGCGATGCCAGGAGCCCCTAGTAGCGTCCTTGCTCCTAGCGATGCCCTTGTTACTAGTAGCGATGCCCTTAGTTACTAATAGCTTCTTGCCACTAGTAGCAATGCACCTGTTACTAGGTAGCGATACATTCTCTTCATCCATTGCTTTATCCCTTGGTGGTGTCATACAGTGCCAATACTGGAAGTGCCAATACGTGCCAATCAAAGCTTCTTACCTCTCTCAGACCTCGCAGAAGAAAATTTCTACCAACACAGAAAACGCAGAACATTTCTACCCTTTCAACGGCCAAACCAGGTCCACTTCAGGTTGTCAATTTCAGCTCCTTGGTGTACTGGCTCACGCCCTGCAGGAAGTTTTGTGATCAGTTGTTCTTGAACCGATGCTGGCTTTTGCTATCGACCCTGATTGGCAAGGCGCCTCTGAAGGGAGTACAGTGGGGGGTGCTTGAGAAGACAAGGCACTGATCCCTCGTTGAACGCATCCACTATGTCTTGAGAACCTCTGTCCAACTTCTGCGAATAAACAAGGTTGCGATTGCCCTTTATGTTGAAGATCACACTCTGGAACCATCGAACATGGCTTTCTGCCGCCACGCCTCCATGTGCGACAGGAACACTGCGGGGTTGTCCTTGGACAAAATCCGTGTCTCCGCCTGAGTCGAGAGGCCACACGGTGGCCACAGATCTGATTGAACCAGTTGACAGTCTGAACAGTTTCAGACTTGTACAACTTTGTTGACTCAAGTTGATCTCTTCACTCTCGCCGAGTGGCCGATAAGTCTGATCTCATCTGCTTGGAGAGGCAGAAAATGCCTCAGGTCATGTTCTCTTTTTCCTTCCACGGACCGTTCGAAAACAGCATTGGCAAGAAGAACGATTCAGGGTGCTTAATTACCACCCTTAGTCCACGAAAAACGGAAATGGTACGGTGACCGTGCTCGGACCTTCGGAGCTCTTGCATCGAGGGCACCGGTGTAGCTCTCACCATCGAGGAATTGGAGGGATCCCGTGATCCGCTCGGCAATCCGACGGTCCACCTGCCCATGAGATGATGAAGACAAGAAGAGCCCTAGAAGCGTCCTTGTACCTAGTAGTAAGGCCCTTTGTTACAAAGTGTCTTTTCTGTTTTTGAAGCAATGTAGATACAGCAGTTTATCAAAGGTTTCGCATCTCCATGTGACCCTTCAAATCTTTGAGCCTCCTCGGGTGTGATAGAGGCAGTGCTAGGGTCACTGTGGCCAATCACGAAGCCCCACCTCAACTGTGACCAAAGGCACAATACTTTTGTGCTAGTCCTCCAGTTTTTGATGTCTGCTACATCTACAATCTCTTGCCTCAAAGAGTTAGGACCCCAAGTTTGACAAACAGAAAGAGAGCTGACAAAAAGAATGTAAGGGCCCCTTGAGGGAACCTCAATCTGCATGGAGATAATGCAACTCAGGCCTCTTGGTCTGTGCGAAAGGCCTTCACCAACACAATAGAAAAGATGCTTGGTGAGTGCATGTCTTTTCGTCAACCTCTGTGCCCCCAAGCGGAATATCGATTCCAGGTGAAATTCATTTTATCGGACCATGCTTTGAAACCCCAAACAGCATCGTCTGAAGAGGTCTTTTCAACCTCGTCTGGCGGAAGTCGTCGAGACAATGTTGAAAGGCTTCAAGGCATCCAGCTACTAGGAACAAGGACGCTACTAGGAACAAAGGGCATCGCTACTAGGAGCAAGGACGCTACTAGTGTGAGTTTGGTTGTTTGGCGATCCCTGTGAGGTAATCAACTGCTTGTCGGACAATCAGCCGAGAGATGACCACCATTCTGACCAAAAAGTAGCATGTCAAAATCATTTTGAAGGGAAAGACGTCTTGTCTGTTGGTTTTCAGGAAGGTATTCCTAAGATCCATTCTTACGTTCTTGTTTCTCGCTAGTAGGTTGGAGGCCATCGCTATTAGGTTGAAGGCCATCGCTACTAGGGTGGAGGCCATCTCTAGTAGTGTCAGTTTGGCGGCGAGCTTTCAATTTTCATCAAATGTTCGCTCAAGGCACTCATCGGCAAAGGAATAAACTGCTTCCTTGTAGGCGCGCGCCGCCGGGAAGACCTCTGAGAGAAGCGTCGATGACGAAGCAGTCTTGCTCGTTCTTGTTGCCATTAGAAATGCAAACAAATCTCCTTTATAGATCTTCTAGAACTAACTTTCGTAAATTTGAAGACCTAAGGTCAACTGGTGGGAAGTCAAGAAAGTCAAGTCCATCGCCTACTTAGGCGGGGTTGCCTTGCAATACCAGGATTTCCCCGAGAGAAGGATTTCTTGGGGAGCTGTCGGGAATCCTCCCAAATCAGACAACGACGGAATCATGAAGTCTTTTTCGGACAAACATGTTTCATTCGGAATCGATTTTGCCTTGTTTGTGTTTGTGTTCTCATAGAATGCGTGTGCATGGCCCTCGCTCGACACTGCTTGTTTGGAACGCAGAATTGCAATCTGGGCCCTGGGAACGTTGCCCTTACTCAGGGACATGGGCCGCATGCTGAACTCTATGATTTTCCGATACATTCTACGACAGGATCAGCCAGCATGCACAGCTATGGCGATGCCCTCAGCCTCAGAACGCAGGCGGCCGTGGCCGCTTACATTTCGGGCAATTGGGGATCTCAGCTTCGATCATTGTCCCGATGCAGCGGCCACACATCATCACCCCACAGCACTGTGAAGGATTCATTCCTGGGGCCTTTCTCTTGCAAAGCAAGCAGCAAGGGCGAGAAGGCTCGGGCTCTTCTGGCTCAATTGACTGAACAGGCCCAGGCTGAGCCTCGGCTGGCAAGGCGGCCGTAGTAGCTGCAACTGTGGCACCAGCAGCTTGGGGATTGGCGCTCAGCGCTGTTGCCAGCTTTCGCAGGACACACTTTAGCAAGACTTTTTGCCCCATATCTGTGGCAATACTTTTGGCAGCAAATACAAAAGATCCTCCATTCAAATAGGCACCGGACAGACTCAGCAAGGCTTGGCAGGCTAGTGTTTCGAGTAGGTGCCAACTGTGATACCAGAGGCCCCCAAGACCTGCAACGCATTTGTCAGCATTCCAGCACCATTGCCAAACTGCGCCAGCTCTTCTGCTGATAGCTTCCCATCACCATTGCTATCCAGCTGAGCCACAATGCCTCGAAGCTCCTCACTGGAGATGATGCCATCACCATCTGCATCACCTTTTTTAAACAGCTCTGACAGCTGCTTTTTACTCAGCCCACCCAACAATTGTCCCATCGCCTTGTCGAATTCTCTCTCATCAAGAGCAGAATCTCCGTTTTCATCACCAGATTCAAGAAGGCGATCAGCCAAGCTCTGCCTTGCAAGCTCTGTGGCTTGCGATAGCTCCTCCGAAGAAATGGCACCATCGCGGTTCTTGTCCAAGCGTTTGTGCAACTCGGCCAACTCCTCCTTGCTCATCACTCCATCTCCATCAGAATCACCACAAGACATGAACTTTTGCAGGTCTTGCTCACTCCACTGGGTGTCTGCCAGCCCTGGCCAAGCCTTGCTGATCCCAAAGGACTTCTCAATCTCTGCAGCAGAGAGGTCTCCGCTCTTGTCCTCATCTGCTGCGTCAAAGATTCTCTGTTGATCACTACGTGACCAATCTCCGAGGGGGGTAACAAACTGTTCAAATTCCTGGCGGTCAATGTTGCCGGAAGCATCTTTGTCGGCTGCAGCCCTCATGAGGTTTACCACAGCTCCCATGATGG